TTTGGATGGGTAAATGCAGAGCACTAATTCCTAGTATGGGTCACCATACTTGGCCACATGTCACGTCACGTCATAAGTCTGCGATCCGCGTCGGCTGTTGAGAACACGCTCAGGACAGTTCAAAGCCGTGATTCCCATTCACTTACATAAAATGGTCTTTAAAATGACAATATCATCGCTTATCGCAATTATTTCTGGGGCAATATATTGCACAACAAAAAGTTGTTATCGTGACAGGCCTAAAAATAGTCGATTCAAACTATGGTATATTGTGCCAAAACCTACAGATTAAGATTGAAATCGCAGTTACCTTATGCCGTGTTCACACGGCATGATTTTAACCCTGATGTTCACTCGCTGACAGTTTTGTGGAAATCACAGATTAATGCCCCAAATCAGACGCAAATCAGTGCTCGTTCACACGAGTGACAACCACGTAGTGTGCATTATCAAAGACGCAATCTGAGAAAAGCGCTATTGGCGATTGTCTGCAATTCTTGCTATTGAAAAGTTGTGTAATGTGTGACCCCTTCTCACCGATCTGTCATATAGTGCGCACACAACAGGAACTAGATGGTACCCCAGCCAGCAATAAAAAAAAAAAAAAGCGATTTTCAAAGTCATCGGATTGCTGCTCACTCTGAATGACTGGCTGGGGTACCATCTAGTTCCTGTTGGCTTAAGGTGACCATATGTCCTCTTTTTCCCGGACATGTTCAGGACAGAATTTTCTGAATTGCCTAGATCAGTGGTTCTCAATTCCAGTCCTTGCATACCACCGCTCTGCATATTTTGCATGTCTCTCTTATTTAACACACCTGATTCAGATAACCAGCTCATTAGAAGAGAGCTCCGTGCAAGAACTGTGTTCCGATTGACATGGTCCCTACACAGTGTTCTTTGCTCACTACTCCCTGAAATCACGGGAAATCTGTTTAAGTTTAATGCACTTCGGAACATTTATTCACGGATTTGCGTTACGCCACAGCCTGCAATGTCTTTACACACCGAAGAAACTTACTAAAGAAGTGTGACATAATACACCTCTTTAAATAAATACAATTTAAATTCATGTTTCACACACTTTAATGCCCTTTGAATGGAATATATACGCTCCCTTCGAACTGGAATCATGGTGGAATATCCAGTGATGTCCACTTCGCAGGGCACTTACGGTCAAATAGAACATTCGTCTGAAGTGATAAAACATACATACAAAATAGGCAGAGCGGGGGGGTCGCGAGGAATGGAATTGAGAACCACTGGCCTAGATGTTTTCCTATTTGCATTCTCTCTAATGTTCTCATATATGTATTTGCATTGTTTTGACCTTTCTCTGTAGATCCCACCTTCTTGCACGCCACAATTGGTTGATTGTCTGTACAAAGTCTGCACACTATTGGTCAAAGTACGTTTCAGTAATTACCTTCAGAAAGTATAAAAACAACAGGAAAACAAAGCCAAAACCAGGACATTTTAGGTAATTTAGAGATCTAGGGCAGGACATGTCCAGTAAAAAGAGGACGAATGGTCACCCTGTGTTAACATTCATATTCTTTCCTTTGCATGCAAGTAGTGTAATGGCTTCATTTTCGTATTTGTATTCATGTGCTGCATTCAGCCTGCCGCAAAAGTGATGTAAAGTGTGACGAAATAACAGGGGTCGGTCTAGCAGGAAACACATTTAAAACGCATCTTAATACCAGGTGTGAACAGGACTTTAGACATCTCCCTCCCTCCAAGAATGTCCATATGAGGTCAGATGCTTACCTGAAGGTGAAAGTATAGGTATCGTTTGGTGTCGAGGAGCTCTGGGTGGAGGCTGTTAATGAGAGCAATGGCTTCCTGGATCTGACCTTTCAGAACCATTTCCCTGATCTTTATCCTCTCATCCAGAGAGTCCAGATCCACATTCGGCTCAATTCCAGATTCCATACGAAACTTCTCTGCAGCCTCTTTAAATCCCTCTGTGGAATACAATCATGATCAAGAGGGGAAGTTTATGTATTTGATATTGCATTAACATTATATTAATATTTATTTTAATTTACACATATCTGTGCATTAGACTTCAATCAACCACTATACTATACTATAAAATAATACTGACATACCTGTTACTAGATAGTTCATGATAAGCCTGTTCATATCTGCCCTCTGAATGTGCACATTATTCAGTTTATCCATCCATTCCTCCTTTGTAATATCCTCAGGCTTTTCTGAATAACTCATCATGGATGTACTGTGGTAAACATGACATGTGAAAAAAAAAAATAACGTTTTGCACACATCCAAAATAAAAAAATGCACGTGCACTAACTTTTAAATGCTATTATCAGAGAAGTAGTTTCACTTTTAGTGACCACTGTTTCTAGCTGTCCATGTTATCAAACAAGAAAAACCTATTTTCGCTTTTAAGTAGTCTAAGGTTGTGATGTTGGTGTTTGAAGGTAAATGAATGAACTGCACCGAGCACGTTCATATTTTCGCGGTGTTTCTGCTCATAGACAACACAACAGATCAGCCTGCGGCTCACTGGCCAGTACGCGACGTCAAAGGAATTTGGAATGGTAACACTGATGCACTTGACAGGTTTAAAATGATTAAAGACTCGTTATTAAGGGATGAAATTTCGCATTAATTATTTTTCGCTTTTATCGAGGCACGAAAATAAACAAGCCCCGAGTGCATGAACCTCAGCAGCGCGTGAGACTTGCAGACGGGCTTGTTCATCTATTTTCTAACAATAACATTTGCGAATGACCACGCATGAAAACAAAATAATATTCAATTATATTAATTTTAGCTGTTGTTTATTCACGTTATTTGTTTTCTTCTCACAATAAGAAGAATGATGATAAAATACTTACTGTTTACGGTTATAAATAGCGGTGGGCCTCAACGAAGATCACGCGATAATAGAGAAGAGCTCTTAACGAGACTTGAGGGGAGGTCAGTGATTGGTCAGAATATTGACGTCACGGTTGCTGTGGCAAAGCTGGTAAGGTTGCCAGATCGTTTTACTTTATATAATGTATTTTATATTACCCCTGGCCCTGTGTTTGTTGTTGTTGTTGTTGTTGTTCTTTATTTCTTTTTGTCTTGTGATTTTGTTGTTACTAGGGTTGTATATTTTTGTATACTTGTTGATAATCCTAATATAAAAAAATTTAATAAAAAGAAAGGTTGCCAGATCGTGTGCACAGTGTTAGACTGATCATATAGATTTATTTTATTTACAGAACATTAATATCTGGAACAAGTATTTCTCTATTTGTTTTTATTTACTTTGAAACTATTTAAGAAAAAAAATTATAACCGTTTGAGCTACGTATTATAAATTGCAGATTGAGTTTATACCTAAAAGTCTAATGAAAGTCTAATGATTTTTTTTTTAAATATAGGCCTATGTTATAGATCTTATTGTGACTAATCAGTGAAATCAGTTTAATCAGTGAAATTTCTTTAAATTGACAAACTGACAAATCAGTCAGATTTCTTTCAATTTACGTCGTAATGATTAATCAAAATGTCATAACTGGATCTTGTCAATAATGACCAAATATCTTTTTAGTATTGACTTTAACTTCTCCAGCAATTTCAGTGTTTTGTTCATGAAGAGATAGCCTACAGCCTGCCCTAATATAAACCATAACATCTGATGGTTTACCTTGTTATTCTAAAACCTTCCCAAAACAAGTATGAATTTACCTAATCCTCTTATCTAACACAATGCTCTTATTGCAAAACAGGCATCAAAACATATTCTGTAGGGCGAGAAAGATAATTGATTATGTCTCAGAGATTAGATGAGACTATCATCTTTATTATGTGGACCAGATGAGAAATCCCCCTAGTGGAGGGGGAGATTTTTGTTGCAACATGTCTATATACAGTACAATACAATAAATCTATTGTTTATTTACACTCCTCAGCAACAGCCAGTAAGTTCTGCTGATGATGACCAGACATTATGAGCCAATGAAATGTGTTTGTGAATGTGTTTTTTTGTGCTTTCAGGTTGAACCACACCATATGTTATTTCTCAAACAAAACAGGTGATGCAATAAAACTTTTGAGTGTGACATTGAATTGTGTTTCTTTTTATCAGTTAATCAAATCAACTGTATCAAAGACTGACATTCTGTAAACAATAATAGTGATTTTGAGAGCATATATATATATATATATATATTTGTGTGTGTGTGTGTGTTTAATAAAATGAATATATATATATATATATATATATATATATATATATATTCATTTCATTAAAAAAAAACATAAAGGTGCACCATTGATTCTTTGTGCCCTCTTAAATAAAAATCTCGGGGCCAGTTGCATATAAAAGGCTTAGACTATTACAATTTAGTCATCTAATTTTTTTTTCTTTAAGACTGCATACATTAGTTACATACATTGGTCTGAATAATTAAAGACTTGGAAAATTAAAGATAAATTTACCCCTTGGCTAACTGCTAGTCAGACAGTCTTAACATAGTGGCTAAATTTATGCAACTGGCCCCAGATTTTATATTTTTTTATTATCTTTATATAAGTGTTTAAGGTTGGTTCTTTTTTTTATACATGTGTAGGCCTATTGGTTACTGTTTTTTTTTTGTTTTGTTTTTTTTTTGAAACACCAGTATGCTTTCAAATAACTATAGAAGAAAAAGTATTTTGTGGAACTTAAAATAATTTTCTTAGTAAATTAATTTGCCATGTTTTAAAATAAACAAAATTATTTATTATTTAAAACAATAGCTACTAAAATAAAGGTAACAGAAAATGTAAATATAAGGGTTCAGATTTTTTTTTTAAACTCTTCAAAAAAACGAACATATATTTTTTCACAGTTAGTGTTCATGTAATAGCCTATTTGCATAAGCAAGAACTTCCGAGTGTGTGTAATTGAAATATATGCTATTTTATTGTGTAATTATAGGTCATATTGTTCATAATTACATATTCAAAATAATTAACACGCTGACATAAAGACTTAATGTCACAGTATAGGCTATGTGGTGTCATAATATTGTCTCATGTTCAGTTGCTCAACAATCCTCCGCATCTCTTTCAAGGCCCGAGCTTGCATCAGGATGTGGTTTTTGGCCAGGAGCAGCGTCGCTATCTTGGACAGTTTTTTCACGTTTTGATTCGGCGTGTAAATCAGGTATGATGACAGCTCGCAGGTCATCCAGTGCGTCGTTAAGATGCCTCCGTTCGCGCGCATGGATAAGTAGCCGCAGCGCTCTCGGCTTTTTGATTGCTCCGCTGCTCGGCACCGGCACAGACACTGAAAATGTTTTCTGTCCATCTCCGATGCTGTCTCTTCGATTATGCGATGGTCCGTGGTTAATTAATCAGAGGGCTGCGTGGAAACTCCTTCACCGAGGCTCTGACCGTAGGCGTGCAGCTCATGGAAGTGTGGAAGCGCAGTTCACAATCTTGGTCACCATTCCGCATTGGATTCATCCTCCTGATGTTCATTCTGTCAGCAAATATGAATGTATTATTCGTCTACGTCCAACGTCTTTTGACGCTTGAGTTTGCTGCAGTAAACGCCTATTTGACCTGTCGAAACTTTTGAAGGATTAACAGACTGTCCAATCAAATCTGCGTCCACCAACACAAACATAAACAAACAGGTGCTGTTTTTATCTAATAAGAAGCGTATTGATTTACAATCATAACAACAATGATATTAAAAATATGTTTACTTGATGTAAGGTGACGTTTTGCTTTTGTAAAAGTTTAGTCGACATCCAAAACTGTTCATAATTTACATGCTTAATATTTTGGGGTTAAATGACAAATGTCAGTAAAGAATTTTAGCCTAAATGAAAGCAAATAATTAAAGCTATTATATAATATATAGCCTAGGCCAGGGGTGCCCAAACACGGTCCTGGAGGGCCGGTGTCCTGCAGAGTTTAGCTCCAACCCCAATTAGACACACCTGAACCAGCTAATCAAGCTCTTATAGGCATACTAAAATCTTCCCACCAGGTGTGTTGAGGCAAGTTGGAGCTAAACTCTGCAGGACACCGGCCCTTCAGGACCGAGTTTGGGCACCCCTGGCCTAGGCTATTTAATTACTTTTAATAATTATTTAATCTTTTTTTAATTTTTTTTATTTTGTATACCAACTCAGAGTTTGAAAGGCTATTGTTGATATTCTGACTTTGTGAGAGATGGAAAAGACTGGCTTTGCTTTTGGAAACTGGGTCATCACGCCAAATTATGACTGGGTGTGTTAATCTACGCTGTGTTGACATTTTCAAAAAATCTCCCTCAAAAAGTGAGAAGGAAACTGGGCTGCACACAAACACTGTTCTTGAATGACAGTAAGGTAATAGTAAATGCTAAATAAAACATAAATGTAACACGATTTATTTTAGAAAAAACAGTTTGCTCCCATTGTATAAACAGATTTTATGTCAGTAAAATGATATAATAAATAACAATATTCCTCCTAGAAATGCCCTAAACAAGTCTGATTAATTAGTCATTTACTAATGCAAATGAGCATGGGTGCTGTGCTGGAGGAATCCTGTGCATGTGGAGGGGGTTGATGAAAGGCAATCAAGTATTTTGTGATAAGGAGAAACACATCTGTTCAATAAGTGAGAGTTGATGGCCTAATTTGTTTATTCTAAATGCAAGCATGATTGCATTAGCCATAAACATGTAAAATAATGACAGACTCAGAGAAATTATACCTAAAAAAAAAAAAAGCTCATACCAAAAAAAAATTTTTCTTAATATGTTTTCTGGGTGAATTTATCAAATAAAGCTGAACTTTTATGCAGCCCTGATTCCTTATACACTTAAACACACACACACACTAAATGGCCTAAATAAATACAATTAAATAAAACAGTATGTTTCACAAGAAAACACTATTTCAGTCTTTCTACTTCAAAATTTTATGTTTAACTCAATGTGTTACTTGCCATTTTTCATAATTATTTGTGTAATTTACTAGCAATTTCTGAGTGAAAAATTTTAAAAATTGTTTCTACACAAAAAACATTTTCAGTTTAATATAGTGATTGCAAAAGATTTTCATCAGCACATAATTGCCTTCGGTCATATCATTAGTGTAGCTTGGACTTCCTTTCAGTAAATGACACATGACCAGAAATATATATCACATGACCTCTAGTTGAGGACTCCCATTCTATCTGTCAAACATAATAAAACAATAGGAGAGGAGGGATTGAGGAGATAACAAAGGAGATGCACCAGAGTTCAGTGGCTGATATCATATGGAAAAGCACACCCTCCACCTGAAGGTACCCACCTTATTCTATTCATTCTGTTTCTGTGTTGAATTAGATAAGTTGAATTAGATCTCGATGAGATTAAAATCATAGGTAAAAATGGCTGTAATTATTTTTCCATAAAATTAGATTATATTGAATTTTACATACCATACAAAATGTAAAACAAAATGCTAAAATGCAATCACAAGATCACAATATCAGAATCACAAATAAATCACAAACAAATAAATAAATAAAATAATGTTTTTTAGTTTCTGCCTGATGTGGAATACATCTCTCCTCAAATGGATCGCAGCTACCCAGTGCTGTGATCAACCCTGTGAAACCACAGATGCCAGGTAAGAGAGTCACACTTTATAACTTATCAACAGATTCACCCACTGGACGGTTGGCTGTGGGAAGATGGGGGTCCCTGAGTAGGAAGTGGGGTGAAAGTAAAATCTGTTGCTGGGCGACTGAATCATAGTTGCTATGGTGAACTTGAGTTGAGCAGCTGGTCCAATCAGCTGAGACATGTAGGGCAGAGTGGATCTCATACTGAAGAGAGTGATGTAGAAACACGTGGGAGAAAGAGAGAAGGATGGTGGGAAGAAGAGAGAGGGAGACGAGAAGTAAAAGAGAAGACTGACACAGTAAGAGAGGAAAAGAGGGAAGTTGTAG